TCATTGTAGTTTTGAATTGCATTTCCCTAATAATTAGTCATGTTGAACATCTTTTCATTTGCCTTTTGGCCATCTGTATATCTTTTTTGGAAAAATATCTGCTCATATCCTCTGCCCATTTTTTGATTGGATTGCTCATTTTTTTGTTGTTGAGTTGTATGGGCACTTAATATATTCTGGAAATTAACCCCTTGTCAGATATACGATTTGCAAATATTTTCTCCCAGTTGGTGGGATGTCTTTTCATTTTGTTTCAGGCTTCCTCTGCTGTGCAGAAGCTTTTTAGTTTGATGTAGTCTCATTTGTTTATTTTTTCTTTTGTTTCCCTTGCCTTGTGGTATTCGAAAAGATATTGCTAAGACCAATGTCAAAGAGTGTCCTGCCTATATTTTCTTCTAAAACTCCAAGAGTTTTAGGTTTCAGGTCTTACATTCAAGTCTTTAATCCATTTTGAGTTAATTTTTGTGTATAGTGCAAGATAAAGGTCTACCTTCATTCTTCTGCATGTGGCTGTCCAGGTTTCCCAGCACCACTTATTGAAGAGTCTGTTCTTTCTCCATTATATGTTCTTGGCTTTTGGGTCAAATATTAGCTGTCCATAGATGTGTGGGTTTTTTTCTGGGCTCTCAATTACGTTCCATTGATCTCTGTGTCTATTTTTCTGCCAGTACCATGCTGTTTTGATTACTGTAGCTTTATAGTATATTTTGAATTCAGGCAGTGTGATATCTTCAACTTTGTTCTTTTTTCACACGCTTGTTTTAGCTATTCAGAGTCTTTTGCTGTTCCATGTAAATTTTAGGATTCTTTGTTCTATTTCCATGAGGAATGTCATTGGGATTCTGATTGGGATTGCATTGAATCTGTAGATTGCTTTAGGTAATATGGACATTTTAACTATGTTTATCCTTCCAATCCATGAGCATAGAATGTCTTTCCATTTCTTTATGTCTTCTTCAATTTATTCCAATAATGTTTTATAATTTTCAGTGTACAAGTCTTTCATCTCTTTGGTTAAACTGATTCCTAGGTATTTTATTCTTTTTGTTGCAATTGTAAATGGGATTGCATTCTTGACTTCTCTTTCTGCTAGTTTGTTATTAGTGTATAGAAATACAGCTGATTTTTTGTATGTTGATTTTGTACGCTGCAAGTTTACTGTATTTGTTTATTATCTCTAATAGTTTTTTGGTGGATTCCTTAGGTTTTATATATGTAGAATCATGTCATCTGCAAATAGTGACAGTTTTACTTTTCCTTTCCAATGTGGATAACTTTTATTTCTTTTTCTTGCCTAATTTCTCTGGCTAAAATTTCCAATACTGTGTTGAATAAGAGTAGTGAGAGTGGGCATCCTTGTCTAGTTTCTGTTCTCAGAGGAATGGCTTTCAGTTTTTTTATCATTGAGTAAGATGTTGGCTGTGGGTTTGTCATTTATGGACTTTATTATGTTGAGATACTTTCCTTCTATATGCATTTTTTGAGAGTTTTTTTTAATAATAAATGGATGTTGGATCTTGTTAGATGCTTTCTCCGTATCTGTTGAGATGATCATGTGATTTTTTATTCTTCATCTTGTTAATATGGTGTATCACATTGATTGATTTGTGGATGTTGAAGAATCCCTGCATACCTGGAATAAACCCCGTTTGATCTTGGTGTATGATCCTTTTAATGTATTGTGTCTGATTTACTAATATTTTGTGGAGGATTTTTGCATCTATGTTCATCAGCGATATTGGCCTGAATTTACCTTTTTTGCGTTGTTCTTGTCTGGTTTTGGTATCAGGGTAATGTTGGCCTCATAGAATGAGTTAGGAAGCACCCTGTCTTCTTCAATTTTTCAGAATACTTTGAGAAGGATAGGTATTAAATCTTCTTTGAGTGTTCGGTACAATTTTCTACAGAAGCCATCTGGTCCTGAACTTTTGGTTTTTGGCAGGTTTTTGATTACTGTTTCAATCTCTTTACTTGTGATTGGTCTATTCAGATTCTCCATTTCTTCTTGATTCAGTTTTGGGAGGTTGTATGATTCTAAGAATTTATCTGTTTCTTCTAGGTTATCCAATTTGTTAGTATAAAGTTTTTTGTTGTATTCTCTTATAATCCTTTGCATTTCTGTGGCATCCATTGTAATTTCTCCTCTCTAATTTCTAATTTTATTTATTTCAGTCTTCTCTCTTTTTTTTCTTACCCAGTCTGGCTAAGGATTTGTCAATTTTGTTTATCTTCTCAAATAACCAACTCTTAGTTTCATTAATCCTTCCTATTGATTTTTCAGTCTCTATTTCATGTGTTTCTGCTCTGATTTTTATTATTTCCTTCCTTCTCCTGACTGTGGCTTTGTTTGTTCTTCTTTTTCTAGTTTTTTAAGGTATAGTGTAAGCTTGTTTATTTGAGATTTTTCTTATTTGTTGAGGTAGGCCTCTATTCTATAAATTTCCCTTAGTACTGCTTTTGCTGCCTCCCATAAGTTTTGGTATGTTTGTTTTCATTTTCATTTGTCTCCAGGTATTTTTTGATTTCTCCTTTGATTCTTCATTGATCCAATAGTTGTTCAGTAGCATGTTGTTTAGTCTCTGAGCATACGTGACTTTCCCAACTTTTTTCTTGTAGTTGATTTCTAGTTTCATAGCACTGTGGTTGGAAAAGATACTTGATATGATTTCAGTCTTCTTAAATTTATTGAGGCTTGCTTTGTTTCCCAACATATTTGAGAATGTTCCAAGTACACTTGAGAAGAATGTGTATTCTGCTGGTTTTGGGTGGAATGTTCTCTATATATCTATTAAGTCCATCTTGTCTAGTATTTCATTTAAGGCCACTGTTTCCTTGTTGACTTTCTGTCTGGATGATCTCTCCATTGACATAAGTGGGGTGTTAAGATCCCCTACTATTATTGTGTTGCTGTCAATTTCTCCCTTTAGGTCTGTTAATAGTAGCTTGTTATACTTTGATGCTCCTGTGTTAGGTGCATATATATTAATAAGTGTTATGCCTTCTTGGTGGAATGTTCCTTTTATCACTATATAATACCCATCTTTGTCTCTTGGTATCTTTTTTATCTTGAAGTCTGCTATGTCTGATATAAGTACGGCTACATCCACTTTCTTTTGCTTGCCCTTTGCTTGGAGTATCATCTTCCATCCCTTCACTCTGAGCCTATGTTTGTCTTTAGAGCTGAAATGTGTTTCCTGGAGGCAGTATATCATTGGGTCTTGTTTTTTAATCTAGTCAGCCAGTCTGTGTCTTTTGATTGGTGAATTCAATCCATTATACTTAGAGTGATTATTGATGTATGAGGGCTTGATACTGCCATTTTATCTTTGTTTTTCTGGTTGTTCTGTATTTACACATTTTTCCCTTGTATTTCTGTCTGCCATTTCAGTTTGGTGGTTTTCTGTGATGGTTTTTCAGTTTTCTCTTTATTTGTGATTTGTGATTTTGCTCCGATTTTTTGTTTAGTGGTTACTATGAGGTTTGTATAAAAGATCTCATAGATGAGATACTCCTTTTTCTGATAATCTCTTATCTCCATTAGCTTATGCATGTTCTGTCCCTTTTCTCTTCCCCCTCTATGTTTTTGTTGTCACAAATTATTCTTTTTTGTGTTGTGAGTTTGTGACCAAATTGAAGTGGTTATAGGTTTTTGATGCTTTCTTTCTCTTTATCCTTTATGTTATAATTAATGTGTACTAACCTATTCTGATATAGAGCTGCAATTTTCTGATTTTGTCTCTCTATTTATCTCCTTGCTCAAAGCTTGTAAACCTTTGCCTTTTTGTTTCGAGTAGGAGGGCTCCCTTCAACATTTCTTGTAGGGCAGATCTAGTGGCCATGAAACTCTGTCAGCTATTTGTCTGGGAAAGCTTTTATTTCTCTGTCATATCTGAAGGATAATTTCACTGGATAGAGTATTCTTGGCTGATAGTTTCTGTCTTTCAGTATTTTGAATGTATCATTCCACTTTCTCCTAGCCTGTAAGGTTTCTGCTGAGAAATCTTCTGAAAGCCTGATAGGGGTTCCTTTGTAAGTTGTTTTCTTCTCTCTTGTGCCCTTAGTATTTTTCTTTGTCATTGACTTTTGACAGTTTTAACCTTATTTTGCCTTGGAGAAAGTCTTTTTGCATTGATGTAATTAGCAGTTCTATTAGCTTCATGTATTTGCATTCTCCCATTCTTTCTCCAGGTTTGGGAAGTTGTCAGCTATTATTTCTTTGAATAAGCTCTTGGCTCCTTTCTCCCTCTCTTCTCCTTCTGGAAAACATAATCCTTACATTACTTTTCCTAGTTGAGTCAGATATTTCTTGGAGAATTTCTTCATTTTAAAAAATCTTAGTTCTCTCTCCTCCTCCTCCTGAATATTTTCTAGATTTCTATCTTCGAGCTCACTAATTCTCTCTTTCATAAGGTCTGCTCTATTTTTAATGCTTTCTACATTATTTTTTATCTTATTAATTGTGTCTTTCATATCCAGAATTTATGTTTTCTTTTTCTTTTAGAGCATCAATCTCTGGTGAAGTAGTCCTTCTGTTCATTAATGTTTTTTCCTGAGCTCATTGAACTGCCTTTCTGAGTTTTCTTGTAACTTGTTAAGTTTCTTTATGACAGCAATGTTGAGTTCTCTGTCAGTTAGATTGTAATCTTCTGTGACTTCAGGTTTGGTTTCTGGAGAGTTGTCACTTTCCTTCTGTTCTGCCATGTTACTGTAGTTCTTCATGGTGTTTGATGAACTGATCCTCTGCTGGCACACTTGTGGAAGTAACCACCATTTCTTACTTGAGTATGACATTGGTTACTTTGGTTCTGAATTGCTTCATATTGTATTTGAGAGCCTGCATTTTACACCCTCTGCTGCCTCTGCCAGAGGCATCATCAGTGCCCTCCTTGTGCCACTTGTGCCTCTGGGGTGGCTGATGCCTTGCTGTTTATGATGTCACTGTAGTCTCAGGTGAAACCACTGGGGTCACCAAGCTGCAACCACTTCTGCTGCTTCCAGGGTCTTCTGAGTCACATGTTCCTCCACTGTCTCTCAGTGGGCTCAGATGCTCCTTCCTTGTGTACCACCTGCACTGCTGTTCCCATGTTGTCTTGGGGTGCTGGTTACATCACTGCCATGGGTGCTGGGTTCATGAGTGTTGCTGTGCTGTCAGGTGCCTGGGCACCAGGGGACTTGTATGGAACCCCCACTGCTGGTGGAGCTGGTGTCAAGGATGCTGCCACTGGATCTTCATCACTGGTTCTACTGTGGTTCCTGATGCCTCAGGCTGCAGGTTCTAGCTGCAACTGCTAAGGGGGAGCAGGAGCTGTTTTTTCTGCTCTGGCCCCATCTGCTGGTGGTTGTGTGGTGTGGGGCACTGCTGCTGAACCACTGATCCATGGGCAGTCTTGTGATCTGGGCCACTGCTCTTGCCGCTCCGTGGGCAGTTGTGCAGGCTGGGCTGCCCTTGCCTCGCCTCGCAGTCAGGTGAGCCACTGTGTGAGGATCTGCACCCTGGATCGCTGCCACTGGGGCAGCAGGAGGGAGTTCCTTCCCTAGTTCCACTGGCTCCTGGGGGCCCAGTCCACCCACTTCAGATGTATAGATGCATGGATCTCTTAGGAATCCTGTTGTACTGTGTATGGAATGCTCTATTGGTCAATGGATGTCTGTTTGGTTGTAACTTAGAGTGGAAAGACAAAGGGAACAACTCAGTCTGCCGTGATGCTGATGACACTCTCATAAGTTTTGAGTTCAGGTAGTGTAAATTTTCCAAACTTATCCTGCTTTTTCAAAATTGTTTTGGATATTCTAAGTTCTTTGAACTTCCATATAAATTTTAGAATCAACTTGTCACGTTCTACATGAAAGCCTGTTGGCATTTTCATTGGAATCACAATCTGAATCTATAGATGAATTTAGGGAGAATTAATATCTTAAGAATAGTGAGTCTTACAATCTGTGAACATGATCTATCTCTCCAATTATTTTAGGTTTACCTTAATTTGTCCAACAGTATTTTGTATTTTTCAGTTTACAGGTTTTGCATATATTTCATTTGAATTCTCCCTAATATGTCATGTTTTTTGATGATACTGCTAGTGATCTTTTCAAACAGCCCTTTTGGGGGTTATTTTTTTCTCTATTTTTATCCATTTCTATGCCATTGTTTCCTGCTTTTATTACTTCATTTTTTCTTATTAATTTGGATTTAATTTGCTTTGTTTTCTAGCTCCCTAAGGTGGAAGCTTAATTTTAGACTTTTCTTCTCCTCTAATTTAAGTGTTTAAAGCTATGAATTTCCCAATTAGCACTGCTTTAGTTGCATACCACATATTTTGATGTGTGTGTTTTCATTGTCATTCAAGTCAAGATACTTAAAATTTTTTCTTATGATTTTTATTTGACTCGTGGATTAGAAGCATTTTGTTTAATTTCAACACATTTTGAGATTTACTAGATAATTTTCTGTTGTAGATTTCTTCATTCTGTTGTTGTCAGAGAACATCATAAGTTCTCTAAGTAAAAGCTGCTGAGTGAGTGGAGTGTTCTATAAATGTCAATTAGTTCAAGTTGGTTCAAATGTTGTTCAAGCCTTCTGTATTTTATTGAATTTTTGGTCTGCTTGTTCTATCAATTGCTGAGAGAGGCATGTTGAAATGTCCAACTATGTGTTTATTTTTCCTTTAAGATCTATACGTTTTGCCTTCTGTATTATAAAACTCTGTTGTTAGGGGCATAGAATTTAGGATTATTACATCTTCTTGAGGAAGTGATCCTTTATCATTATGAAAAGTGCCTCTTTATCCTTGTTATATTCCTTGTTGTGATATTAACATAGGCACTCCAATTTTCATTTGGTTATTGTCTACATCATATACTTTTTAAACATCTTTTTAGTTTTAACTTATCTTTGATTTTATATTTAATGTTGGTTTCTTCTGTTGGATTATGCTTTTTTATTCAGGCTGACAATCTCTCTGCCTTTTAATTGGACTATTTAGATCATTTGCATTTAATGTAATTATCGATATAGTTGAATTTAAATCTGTATTTTTCTATTTGTTTTAATCTGTTCTTTGTTCATATTTTCCTCTTTCTTTCCTTTTTTTTGATTAGATATTTTGCAATATTCTATTTTCTCCCCACTACTGGCTTACTAGCTATACTTCTCATGTGTACGTATAAGAGTGTGTGAGGCATTTGCTCTAGGGTTTACAACATGCATCTTTAACACAGTTTACCTCTAAATAATATTACATAACTTCATATATAGTATAAGAACTCTAAAAGAATTTACGTTTGTGTTTTCCTGTCCTGTCCTCTGTGTTATTCTTGTCATGCATTTTACTTCCACATATATTATAAACTTCATATATAGTGCTAATTTTTTTAAACAGTGTTATCCTTTAAAAAGTTAAAATACAAGAAAAATGATTTTTAAATTTATCCTCATTCTTGTTATTTTCAACTTTCTTCTTTACTTTGGGTACCTCGAAGTTTCCATCTGGTATTATTTTCCTTCTTCCCAAATAATTCGATTTACATTTCTTGGATTGAAGATCTTCTGGCAACAAATTTTCTCAGCTTTTGTCTGAAAAATACTTATTGTGACTTTATTTTTAAATTTCATTTTGATATTTTCACTGGATTTAAAATTCTAGGTTGACAAGTTTTTTCTCCCTTTCAACACATTGATGATGTCATTCTATTGTCTTCTGGCTTGCATTGTTTTTGATAAGTCTGCATGACTCTTGGCTTTGTTCCTCTGTATGGTATGTCTTTTTTCTCTCTGACTCTTTTTAAAGATATTCTCCTTGTCACTGGTTTTGAGAAATTTGATTGTGGGGTGCCCTGGTGATGTTTTCCATCTCTTTAGACTTCTTAGACTATGTGCTTAGACTGTTTGTTCAATGTCTTTGATCTGTGGATTTATAATTATTATAAAATTTGGAAAAATTTCATCCATCATGTCTTCAAATTTGTTTTTGTTTTCCCCTCCTCCTTTCTGGGCTCCAAAGATATGTATATACGTTATAGAGCTCAATATTGTCCTACTGGTTACTGAGATGCTGGTATTTTGTTTTTATCTTCTCTCTCTGTATTTCACAAGGATTGTTTCTACTGTTATATCTTCAAGGCCATTGATCTTTTCTTCTGCAGTATTTAATCTGCTCTTAATCTCATTCCATGAACTTTTCATTTCAAATAATGAATTTTAACCTCTAGATGATCTATGTTATTTTTATTTATATTTCCCATTTCTCTCCTTATATATGCATGTTTTCTTTTAAATATTTATACATGGTTGTAACATTTATAGTTATTATTTTACATCCTTGCCTGAAAATTCCCCATCATAGCCATGATTTTTAGATCTGTGTCTATTGACTGACTTTCCTCATGGTTTCACATCACAATTTTTTGCTTTTTTGCATAGCTGATTATTTTTACTGGAAAGTTAACATTTTGAACTTTCTTTGTTGAGTGTTTGATTTTGTTGCATTCCTTCAAAGAGTGATTAGTTTTGTTTTGACCATCAATTAAATTACTTGAACATCAAGTTGATCCCCTTAAGGTTTGTTTTAAAGATTTTTTTAGGTCAGATCTGCAGGATACTTTCAGGCTCCAGATACTAGGGCTTGTTTGCTACATTACTAAGCTATGGCCCTGTTGGTGACTCTACTGAATGCTTCATGAATTCAGTGATGTCTGTCAACTCTTTTATGGAAATTCAAATCTGGATTTTCTGATCTTTTTGAGCTCTGGGAATTTCTTGGCTTACAGCATTCTGCCAATTATTCTTTCCCAGCATCATGGAGCTTCACCCTATGCATGTTCAGATTAGTAGTCATGCAAAGAATTGAGGGGACCCTGTGCAGATTTCTGGAGCTCTTTCTTCATATAGTTTTCTTACTTTCAATATTCTACCTTGCAATTCCTAGCTGCCTTGGGCTTCTCAAACCTCGATCTCTGTCTCCTCAACTCGGTAAGACAACAGGCTTTGTTTGGATTCCTCCTCCTTGTGCTGCAATTTGGAAGTTGCATCCAGGTGGACAGTCAGGCAAACACAGAACATCCCTCATTTATTTCACTTTTCTCTGGGATCATAATCCTGCATTGCTTGTAGTCCAATATCTGAAAATAACTGCTTAATGTATTTTGTCTAGGTTTTTATTTGTTTAAGTCAGGAGAGCAATTCCCATAGCAGTTACTTGTTCATAGGTGGAAGCAGAAATCTAGAGGAGTATTTATCAACATGTATGTTTGAGTTTGTGTAATCGGGTGTATGCGTGTATTGCATGTGCCTTCATACAGTTAACATGGGTTGTACACATTGTCTTAGTTGACTTGGGCTACCATAACAATATACCATAGACTGGGTTCTCAAACAATAGAAATTTATTTTCTCACAGGTCTAGAGACTGAAAATCCAATATCAGGGTGCCACTATGGTCAGGTCTGTTGAGGACTCTCTTTCTGGCTTGCAGATGGCTACCTTTTCACTATGCCCTCTCATGTAAGAGTGAGAGAGAGCAAGAGAGTGAGAGGTTGAGAGCTACTGCGAGCTCTCTGGTGTCTCTTTTTACAAGGGCACTAATCCCACTTTGGGGGCCCCACCTTCAATGATCTCATCTAAATCTAATTACCTCCCAAAGGCTCCATTTACAAATAGCATCATATTGGGGGTTAGGGTTTCAACACATGAGTTTGAGGGGGATACAATTCAGTCCATAGCACACATTCCTCAGAAATATCTCTCATTATTCACAGTGATTTTTTTTTCAACTTATGTGGTAGCCACTCTTCTAAGATGTGTTTTAGAATCTAACAGACAAAACACCCACCTTCTACTCTGTTAGTGCTACCCAGATTGAGAATTACTGCAGGCAATAGGGAGCTCTCACATATAGGTTTTTGAACAGGGAGTTGACATGATGAAATGGTGATTTAGGCATTTGAGGCAGGAAGGACTAAATGTAGGGGGGTTAGAGGGACAGCAGCTTATTTAATGATTATTATGGTAACCAGCCGATGAGCTCTCTCAGGGCTGGCAGTCAGCAGAATTTGTCACTAGTGATTGGCTTAGCTGGTTGTGCCCAAGCTTATCACTATCCTCAGCACCAAAGCCTTGGACAGCTCCAGCAGCGAAGAAAGCCTCGAAAGTTCACATGCTGAAATGCGTTGTTCATTCATTTTATTCGTCTAGTTTGGTTTTATTTAGCAATTGTAGCTTGCATTTTTAAGGAATACAGAAGTCTACTGCTCTTGCCCCCAAGGGTCTTATGAACTCTTTGGGGAGGCAAGAAAAATATATAAGTTAAAATAAAATAATAATTATTTATTATTTTGGTAATATCTTGCTGCTTTTAAAGTGAATTCTCATACCTTCTTTGGTCAAAAAGATAATCAACATACTGTCTTACAGATTGTCCATATGTTTTAGGGGAAGAAAAAGGATAGTCAGTGTGGGATGGTGTTAGCCA